GGGTTTCTGGAGTGGTGGGGGGTGGGAGGGATGGGGTGGCTGGGGGATAGACAGTGGGGAGGGTATGTGCTATGGTGAGCACTGTGAATTGTGCAAGACTGTTGAATCACAGATCTGTACCTCTGAAACAAATAATGCAATATATGTTAAGAAAAAAAAAACAAGAAGATAGCAGGAGGGGAAGAATGAAGGGGAGTAAATTGGAGGGGGAGACGAACCACGAGAGACGATGGACTCTGAAAAACAAACTGAGGGTTCTAGAGGGGAGGGGCCTGGGGGGATGGGTTAGCCTGGTGATGGGTATTAAAGAGGGCACCTCCTGCGTGGAGCACTGGGTGTTATGCACAAACAATGAATCATGGAACACTACATCTAAAACTAATGATGTAATGTATGGTGATTAACATAACAATAAAAATTTAAAGATTTAAAAAAATAATAATAAAAAAACCCGAAAAACACCAATGAAATGACAACCAATTGAGAAATGGGCAAAGAATGCGAACAGACGCTTGTCCAGAGACGTACAAACGGCCAACAAGCACGTGATGAGATGAGCACGATCGTCAGCAGGGAAACTGCAAATCAATCCCATAATGAGACACCAGTGCACACAGACCAGGGTCAGTGTCTCTCATCAGAGACGTGGACACAGTGCGACCCTATTCACTGCCAGTGGGCACGGAAATGGCGCAGGTGTTTCGGAAAAGTGCTCGTGGTCCCACAAGCAGTTGCACAGTACTCCCACGTGACCCTGCATGACCACTCCTGGCTGTGCAGACCCAAGAGAAAGGTTACGTGTGCACACGACACCTACGCGTGCACGTTCACGGCAGCCGGAACAACACAAACACCCAGGAGTGGATGAATGGATAAATACGGAACCCAAGAGTAAAGAAGGACGCGCAGATGCGTGCTAACATGCGAGCGAACCTTGAAAAGATGCTGCATGCAAGGAGTCACGTGTAAGAAACCATACGGGTACGAGATGTCCAAAACAGACAGATACGCAGACACGGGAAGCAGAGGAGTGGCTTCCTACGGAGCGGGAAGGAGGGAGGGAGACAACTGCTAATGGGCACAGGGTTTGTTCTCAGAGGAACACTGTGCCCTAAAACGGAGCATGGTGAGGACACAAACACCGCTGAGCCGTGTGCTTTAAATGGCTGGCTTGGGTGGCACGGGCGCTCTGTGCGGGTGAGAGGCAGACGGAAAGGCAAGCCCCAAACACGGAAAGCAAAAGGCACCCGTGACGCACGAAGTCACCGAGCAGCCGGAGAGAAGGTTCTCGCACCGCACACGCACAAAGTTATTTAGCATCCAAAGAGGAGAATGCTTTCGCACGGCACACAATGCACAGAGCACGGGCTTCCAGAGTGTGGAGAGGAGCTCCAGTGGAGAAGAGTGTCGGAGAGGGACAGGGACAGGGAAAGCAGGGGCCACACTGGCCGCACAGGACGTGAACAAGCGACACACACGATCCACTGGTGAACACTGCATGCTGAACTCAGAACCACTTTCTACAGCACGACCACCACAGGCCCCGTGGACAAGCAAGCTCACAACCCAGGAGGCACCCACGTGTAGCTGCCGGCCCCTTGGAGAGGGGGACGGGCTGGGCCAGCAGGAACCCTTGTGTGCTGCCACGGGCTCGGGCCGCTGTGCCCCCACTGTGCCCACGTGGGGCTATGTGACTGGGGGAGGCTGAGGTGTCCTCTGTTTGTGCAAGCCCACTGCGGCGGTGCACACTGAGATGTGGGCCTAGAACACAGCGTCCACGGGGGACGCGTAACTTCTGGGGGGACGCCCCCCAGAAGGACGGCACATGGAAACTGAACGGGCGATGTCACGTCTGCACGTGTGAACACGGACAGTCTAGGAACACGCTGTCTGGGACAAATGAGACCGCGGTACGATGCACACACTGCATGGGAGCTGAGCTGACAGTCACCCACCACGTCCTGCACACAGGACTACGGGTGCGTGTTCACCCGCTCCAGAAGAACAGCACCCCACACGGGAGAGGCACGGGCCACAGGGGGAGAGGCACGGGCCACACGGGGAGAGGCACGGGGTCACACGGGGAGAGGCACACGGGGCCGCATCGGTGCAGAGGAAGGCCTGCGATCAGCCTCTGGGGACGGGCCCTAGAAGATTAACGCTCACTGAACCTGGGACAGCGACCCATGACGTGCATCCTTCAGGATGGAGGACGAACATTCACACAAGATCCCTATTTGTGCTTCGGAATGGAATCAGAGCAGCGAACGTCCGCAGACTCGTGGGCGCCCACCTTGGCCACTCGGCCCATGTCCTCCATCCTGGCTCTCTCGTGCGGGAACTGTGTGAAAGTCTGCTCGATCTTGGTGATGACGGCGTCTATGTTCACCATGTCCTTTGGACGGCCTCTAGGGAAGTAGAACGTTGGAATGCTTTGGCTGGTGGCGGGCGGCAGGGGCTCCTCCTTCTTTGTCTGAACCTAAGACAAAACAGATGGCACCTGTGTGAGAACCTGTAAGCGTCCCATGTCTTCATGCTCACGCGTCATTAGCAGGGGTGAGCCAGTCGAAAAGTAAATGCACCAAGCAGCACCTCTGACCCGAATATGGACACGCGACTCCACAGAGTCCCTGTGGCAGGACACGCGACCCGCCAGCGAGCACCACACTCCACCGCGGGCCCTCACTGCCAAGCCTCCTGCAGTCCTGCCTCGGCCAGGACCCCTCAGGACGGGGACCAGGGATGCCCAGACTGACTGAGAAGCTGACGTGGGTGCTTGCAGAGAACCTGCCCTGAGTCCTCCTGGGGGTCAGGACCAGCCAGGTGGCCACTAACGGGCAGGTGATCGCATGCAGGAACGGGTGAACCCGCATGGACAGCGTACACATGGAGTCACCTGCTCCCACGGTACCCGTCCTGGAGCAGGACGCACCCACCGCCCCAACCTGTGGGTGTCTCTCTGCTGGGAACAGGGCCGTCCGTGGCCTGAGGTTCTCTCTGCGAGGCACCCACAAGCCATTCCACAGCCCAAGCCGCCACCCTTGGCAGCGTGGCCGGATGTCCGACGCACCTTCTCACCACAGTGGCATCAGCACATCCCCAGAGGCCGCCGTGTGCCGGCACGCTGCTTGGCAGACTGCTCTGCACACAAAGCAGGGTTGCGGCACAAAAGTCTCCTATGTAGAGATGACTGCTCAGGTCAACCACGGAGGAAACATCCATGCAAAGTCGGCCTGGAGCTGGGTGCCGGGCCAGGTGTGGGGGGACCGAGGCTGGGACGCCCTGCTGGGTGTGCTCAGTGAACCCGGCTGCCCTGTCTCTGCAGGCCACGGTCCCCCAGCGGCGCTCAGCGGCATGTCCCATCCATGCTGAGCCAGGACGGAGCAACTTTCCTGCTACCACACACAGCCGCCGTAAGCCGTGGATGTGGATGGCTGAGAACCGCGATCCGGCCACCCCGGCTGGAAGTGATAGAGGAGCCCAGTCCAGCCCACAGATGCATCTCCCATCCACACCCTGAGTTCTGTACGGTTGGGACGTGAGGCCACGACCAGACGTGGCAGAGGCAGCCCAGCATCCTAGCAGGAAGTGCGGGAGCGAGGGCAGACGTAAGTGCGGGAGTCCACGCGGGGAGGACGAAGGCTACGAAATATGCAGAAGGGGGGATGGGGAGGGGCACGCAGGCTCACGCCTGCTGAGCTCCATGTACACGGCAGCACGGCTGGGCCTGCCACAAACCATGAGCCCCGGGCTGGTGGAGGACACACCCGCGCAGGGGCTGACCCGCAGGGAGGCTGAGGGGAGCGCAGAGCGCCCAAGCCCTGCTGTGACCACAGCTGAGGGAGGGACCCACACAGCAACCGCAGCCCTGTGAGGAGAAGGTGGTCCTCCCGTTGTGCCCAGGGGCGCTCAGAGCACAGCGCACATGCCCACCGGCCGTGTCCACAGGTGCAGGGGAACAGACCACACAGTCTGCCACGGCACACTGTCAGCAAGCCTGGTCCTGCACACGTCTGATACCGCCTCCCCGCGGGATCCTTCACCCTGCCGTGCGGGACCCCGTCCCCACGGGATCCTTCACCCTGCCATACGGGACCTTGCCCCAGCTCCGTGACAGCCACAAAGACAGTCCCCAAGCTCCACAGTCACAGTCCAATGCGGTTCCCATGCCCCCAGGTCACGGCTCAGCACACAGTCCCTGTGCTCCCCGGTCACAGTTCAGAGACCGTCTTCCGTCAACCTCAGTCCCACGTCAGGACAGTCCCCATCGTCCGGGGTCACATGTCAGGGACGGCCCTGTGTCCCCTGAGTCACACGTCAGGACGGTCCCGTGTCCCCTCAGTCACAGGTCAGGACGGTCCCGTGTCCCCTCAGTCACAGGTCAGGACGGACCCGTCCCCTACTCCTCGGTGCTCAGAGGCCTCCCCTTCCAAGACTTATGCATGTTTTCATGAGACGTGTTCTCTGTTCAGCCACCGTGGGGGCCGGCGTAATCGGACATAACAGCGTCCGGCTCCCGGGGCCTTCAACCCTCGTACAGAGAGCAAGGGCACACAGCAGTGCATGGAGAGATGCAGACCAGGGGAGTTTGGTGTGGGGGG